TGAAAAATGGGTTCTTTATGCAAATATTAAACCCCAAAAACGATTTCTGACCTGAAAACCTGGACTCCATCCACAGAAAGTGATGCTATGCATTTGGTGGGACATCAAAGGAGTAATTCATTTCGTGGTCCTCAATCCACAGTGAACTGTCAAGGCAGAGATCTATTGTCAGCAACTGGAACGTTTAAATCAAGCCCTTCATCAGAAACGACCTACTCTTGTCAATTGGAAAGGTGTGCTTCTCCATGACAATGTACATCCACATGTACCATGTTTGATGCAACACAAGATTATGGAGCTGGATTGGGAAGTTCTCCCCTACCCACCATATTCTCCAAATATGGCACCATCAAATTACCACCTTTTTAATTTGCTGCAACACCATCTTAATGGAAAAACATATGCAAATACGGAAGGTGTTAAAGAAGACATCAAGTGATTTCTTTAATCAGGGAATTAACAGCCTGATTGTAAATTGGAAAAGCATCATTGATAAGAATGGAGACTATTTCATTTATTAAATGTTTTGTTTTGATATACAAGTTGTTCAGGTTTTTTCCATCTTAAAAAAAAGTGACATTAATTTCTTGACGACCTAATATTAAGTAGTAAAGCTTATTGTTGAATGAGTTGTATTGTTGAAATAATTAAGTGCTACTTGTAGTGAACACAAGTTCAATCCAAGTTTCAGATTGAAATAACAAAAGTTAGAATGGAACCATTTCTATGAAAATAAAAAAAAGCAGCTAAACCTCTGCCAACTGTGAACAACAGCAAAAGTAACTGTAATATACAGCAAAATATCACAAACTCAACCTCCACTCCAGCCAACACTGAAACTGATAATACTGATTCAGAAAATTCCAGTTCTGAAATTTATGGCACTTACAGATGCAACAAATCATGCAGCTTCCAAATATCTCAGTAAACATCCTTTTGATACCAACAAACAACAACATCCCCATGCTAATAAAGATATTACAATTATGAGAAAAACAGATTAGAAATGTTTTAGAATGACATAGAGATCATCAGGCCAAAACTAGCTTACATCCCCAAGAACAATTAGCCCTTAATTCTTTCAACCCAGGCTCAGTCCCTGGGCACGACCTCATAACCATTTTGTGCTAGTTATAGTTTTCATGCTATAACTTTTAAATTAGTAAGCAAATGTTAATGAAATTTGGCAGTTTATAAGTAAACATTACAATGCTTTCATATGCAAAATATCTAAGGTTTGTAATGCAATGTTTCTCTCATGCCTATCTTGCTTATCTATCATACAAAGTAATTTTCATTTTAACATTAAAAATACTTTTATAGTTCAGAAAATTTTTAATTTCACAAGTAAAATCTTTATAATGTCCGAATAGTTATCAAACATTTCTTAAGAAAAAACTTTATCTGTCATTTTCAGTAATTAATCTCTGTATGGGTTTGGTAAATTTTACCGATCTCACAATCACCATAAAAATTTAGGAAATAAACATAAATTATGCCTCTTTCATTCTAGAATGAATAGAGCATGTATAGCCTATCGTGCCTAACAAGCAGTATGTATATGTGTGTGTGTGTGTATTGTGTATACAGATCAAGCAATGTGTGATCAAGATGATGTGTTCCAGATGGTTCATAGCCTTAGCCTAAAGGACCAATGCTAGTGACCAGCAAAGCTGTGAACAAAGCTGCTCACCAATCCATCAGGATATTGAATATGGGTCCATAGCAAAAAATCAGAGGAAAAATCCTTGGTAGGTATTTTAGATTTGGAAACTTTCAGGGTCTGAAAGGTAACCAGGGGCAGTCAGAAACTGTAATTTTCTATTTTCCCAGCTAGTGAAAACTTTGGTTAAACAACTACCAAGGCTGCAAAGAAATTAAGACTTAAGATTTCTGATTGCTTTGATGAAATAATGTAGAGCTTAATGTTATTGAACCATGAGAGATTGATTCATAAGCATGGTAAGTGAATAAAGTAAACAAGGAGAGTTGACATCACGTAACAAATGTCAGGGAAAAACTGAGACAATGGGAAGATGGAGAGAGGAAACAGGAAGTTCATTGAAAGAAAGAGAGGTTGATACTGAAACTGAAGAAGGCTGCTCACTGTATATGAAGCCTTGAATACAAAAGGTGGCTGTTGATGTTCACAAAGCAGGTGTGAAGATTGAAGGAACCAAAACCATACCAAGGATATCCAGTTCCAAGTTGACATGAGTTGTATAAATAAGAGTGATAATCAGGGTCTGAAGCGATTGATTAATTAATTCTTGATAGGGAATGATTACATTTAAAAGTAGAAAAGATAGTAACATTTAAATGGTCTTCAATTTATTACAATTGATGGCAAAAAATTAGCTTTGGTTGAATTAATACTTAAATATGTACTTTAAATTTTGAATATAGAATAGGAAGGGGGAGCAGACCTTCTTAGGATGGGGATATATAGATCCAATGAAAATAATTTTGTTGTGGAGGATATGGCAGTACTCCTAAGAAAACCCACTTTCACTGATCAGGCACTGAATATTCTACCTGAATTGTTAAGGGTTAATTGGAGGTTACAAAGCTTTTTCCTACTA